ATGAACCCGAACTAGGATGAGAATGTCATGGAGAAATTAGATGTCAATAATATTGTTGATGCAGAATTCATAGTTAGCTTCTATAGCAGGCTCTAGGTATAGAAAAGGAGTAAGAAATGAATAGGTCCTGCCCTGAAGGAGCAGAAGTATTAATGGCAGATTAACCATTAATATGAAATACTCTTAAGAAGGCCGGTAAGATAGGGTATTAGACTAGATTTAGTTACAAATACATAATTTAAATTTAAAGACGTGGTGAGGAGTGCCATAAAATTGTAAGAATGAGTGAATCAAGAAAGGAGTGAATCATACTTTTTTTTTTTCTCAAGGAATAGAACAATTAAGGAGAGAGAAGAGAGAAAGAAGGTGGAGGTAAGGAGGAAGAAGAGGAAGGAGAGAGACGGAAGTGGGGAGAGCTAGTGACACATTGGGGTAATTGAGGGAGTGGCAGAGGGCACCAAGCTGGGTTGAAGTAATGCCCATTCAAAGACCTCCTATGAAAGACTTAGAATATGCAAACATTTTCATTCACCTCAATGGCATCTGCTTCTGCAGCTCCCTAGGAGTGTTACTGAGTTCTCGACAACCCTATCTGGATTTCTCCTTTTCTCCACAGTGTATCATTCTAGTTTGGTCCTTGGTTAAGACAGCAATCATGCAAGATAGGTCATATAATAGCATATTTTGATACTAAGTAAATAAAATTCAGGTACGTAAGAAAAATACTGTGTTAGATCGCTATTTCTCGCTTTTTTCTCTTTGATCATAAAAACAATGAAGATGTATTCTTGGATTCTGATTAGTTATGGTTTCATATTGTTGACAGCTTTATAAAAATAGATATCTTTTCGGGACGCCTGGGTGGCTCAGAGGTTGAGTGTCTGCCTTTGGCTCAGGTCATGACCCCAGGTCCTGGGATCAAGTCCCATGTTGGGCTCCCCGCAGAGGGTATGTTTCTCCCTCTGCCTGTGTCTCTGCCTCTTTCTGTGTGTCTCTCATGAATAAATAAATAAAATCTTTTTTTTAAAAGATATCTTTTAACAGTCTTTCTTTTGCAAATAAAAATACAATATATTGTTGCTTGGCTAATCTTGTAGGTTCTTACGGGCTGACATGTTCCAAGAGTCCAACAACTCTGATTTGTGTCTTCCTTTAAATTCTTTGAGATAGACACACAAATTCTCAGGGATGCACCATAGAAAGAGATTTCAAAGACTAAACACAAACAGTTCTCTGTCCCTCTCATCTACTGTTTATTACTTCAGACAATTAAATCCAATGTGATTGTCTTAGTTACCTTGCTTCAGCACTCCTGTTTTATGTGTGGACGAAAATTTGTAAGATTAGTTTCTTTGTGCATAGATACATCTTGATTTTTGCATGAGAGAACATATTTTTTTGCTATTCCCCATGTGCATTCTTAATTCTTCCTAAAATTCAGCTGACCGTTTGGAACTATTGATACATACTAGATTGGATTTTCAAGAAACTCTTCTTTCAGCACTTGATTACATGCAAATAATTGGTACTGTAAGAGATTTCAGAGTTGATCCTGTGTTCAAGATAATTTATAAAAATGCAGGTATGGAAATGTTTACCTTTACTTATATTTTCTATGAGTCAGTTCTTTATTCATGGCCATTCTTTACTAGAATCCTATCATTAAAAAAAAAAGTTCTTAAATGGGAATCCATCAGACTTTTGATATAAAAATTAACTCCTTTGATTAAATTTACCTAGTCATGATGTATGACTTTAAACAATAAATTATACTCATATATCCAAAAGTTAATATTTATTCTTGTTAGAGATGAAATCCTAACATATCCTATGTTTATGGCTACTTGACTGAACTATATCTGAGATAGTAATGCTTCGTGCTCCTGTCCTTGGCTAGTAACATGCATCTAGTTAGTTGTTGAACAATTCTCCAGTTGATGTGGCCAGTTTGATATATTTGCTCTTTCAGGCCTCAGTTACTTACGGATTTTCATTTTCTGTTTCCTATTGATTAGAAAGAAACAGACAGTAAAGGCCACTGCTATAGATCACAGCCTCTATATTAGTCATAAATGTATGTATATCATTCATTGAGTAAAACCACAATGTCTATGAACTGTTTTTCTTTTCTCTTATTTATTGACAGGTTTTTTTTTTTAATTACAACACAATGAATTGATGGTAAATACAGAAGATGCAATAGTATAAAAAGCCATTTAACCCTTCCCTAGGTTAAGACACTTACAGCAGACAAAAACTGCCCCACCCAAAATCCCCTCCTTGAATGGAAACAAAATAAATATAAATTAATAAATACAAAACAAATCACTGCACAGCCCTTAACTCTTTGATTGCCATGGCAAGAACCATGCTGATGATTCTAGCTTGTGACATTTGTGTGGTTAAAGGTTGCCGCAGCAGTCAAAGGGTTATAGCATTGTAAACATAAGTACTTTGTGGAAAAGTTCAGTCATGTTAATGGTCTACAGCGATGAGATTAATAGCATGACCCCTTGACCTTTAATGACGCAACATTATAAGGAGTTGAAGAGAGAGTAGCTTGGTGAGCTGTTACATAGACTAGTCAACCATTTTATTTAACAATGTGCTATGAGGCCTTGATTTACTAATAAAAGACAACTTGTGAATAATAAACACTGTTCAATGCATTGATCAATAAAATCAATGAAAAAATTAATTTAAGCACCACAAAATTTTGCCTGATTATATCTGACAGTCATAATACACTTTAGCACCATTTATTTAGCCTTATATTTGCACACAAACAAGCTTTGTGTTTGTCAGTAGAAGCTATCTGAAAAAATATATATTTACATATATATATATATATATATATATATATATATATATATATATATGCCAGGTTTAAGATGTTATAAATGTATAGAATCCTGTGTGGGCAAAAAAACCCACTAACAACTTGCAAACCTTAGAGCTCATTCAGCAAATAAATGTGTTATTTATTTCTTTCCTAGCACACAGAAGACTACATATTATCAGAAACTTAATGAAGTAGTGTTGAGTGTAATGTGAACAATCCAGAAGCTTAAAGTTAGATTTTAATATCCTCTCCATAACTGAAAATATCATGGGGAATTAAAATAAAGGCAAAGTATTGTCAGACAACCAAGAGATAATAGCCTAAATATTTAATTTCTTAGTGTTTCTCTCTGCTTCATGTTGTAATGTTATTTAAATAAAGTCTGCATTAATTTTATGCATTATATTCTTTTAATTTCCCATAACCACAATATAGAAAGGAAAAATGATTTTCATAAGAAGCTATAAAATGTCTACTGTTTACCCAAGAGACAACTTTCTTTTGCAATTGCTTGCATCTCATTCTGGCTCTGAAAGACAAATGTATGTGCAATTATTTTTTAATATAGCATATGGTATTTATTTGACAAACTAAATTTATGGGAGCTTCCCCCCCTAATCTATCTGTTTAATATGTATGTGTATGTATATTTATACACACACACATACATACATGCTCACACATTATACACACACACATACACACACACACTATATATTTCCAAATCTATATTACCAGATAGCTCATATGGATGGCATAAATTGTGTTCATTATCATACCGATCCACTGCTGGAATCCAGATAATGTTAATATAGGTATACAGATTTTAAAACATCTTGAAGATAGACTACTACACTGATGAAGCAGGCAATTTTCTTTGTATCAATAACTGATTCTTTTAAAAAACCATCAATAGACTATGGACTATGTTTTTGCTAAAAAAATTAAGTTTATTAAAAGTTATAATAGCGCAAATTTGAACTAGTAAACTCCATTTATTTCCTTCCTAGAATATAAAAACAAGATATATTTGTTTAAAATTAGATACCTAAAAAAAAATCTTACAAGACTTTTAATCCTGAAGCAAATTTTTATGGGTGAGTCTTTAAAACCCCTGAAAATAGAGGTCCACAATAGAAATGCTGATGCAGTCAAAACCAATGCAGCAAAAAGCTGCCACTATAATACCCCTTATTCTTGTATTCTCTCTCTTTATAATATATATGTAATTTATGTAATTTACACATAAAGGGAAATAGACAAAGAATCGAGGTTTTTAGGCATTCATGTACACATGATGTACCTTAAACAGAGTACTATATTAAGATATTCACTTTCCTGTATAATTATTTAAGATACATTCTCCAAAAGCGAACTTCCTTAGCTGGCTTATCAACAGTTGACAGCCTTCATACTCAGCATTTCACTTTTCTCAGGGGAATAAAAAAAGTTAAAATCCAATATAAGAGATTGGAAGGTATGTGAAATTGATTGGGAACTGTCTTTGCATGAAAGTTGTGAAGGAAATTACGGAGGAACAAAAACATATTTTCTGGGCACCATGTCTGATGTACAGTGCGGCTCAATTCTGGTTTTCATAAACGGAAGGGAAAATCAAATCTGTAAAAAAAGAAGGGCAAGGTGGAAATGGAAAGGAATGCAAATATAGGTACAGAGTGCATAAGACAACACAAAATAAATATATCCCTCCCCACCATCTGCATTTTGGGCTGACACACAGAAAGCAAACAAATAATTTCAGATTTGGAGGAGCAGAAAAACCAGACATGCCATCATCCATGTTAAGAAATCAGGTCTGTTTGGAAGTAAACAAAGTAACCAAGATTGTGAAATTTTGTAATTATGAACGTATAAAAGAATAACTATTCCTCTTCAGATAGAAAAGAAGTGACGAGAAAAAACACAACTCATTTTACCCACGCAGTAGTACATACTAAAGATCTGTGAGAAGACAAGCAACCACGTGGCCTCTGTGATGTTATTTCAGTGGTAGCAAAGATTATGACATTGATTTAAGGATTGCATTATCATTCAAGGAAACTATATTTTACCTTCACAACTGGGTTATGAATATATAGAGAGGGAGAAAGTTCAAATTGGCATTACGAAAGAACAAATGAAACATGCATTCTAGTGACTTTGCAAATAGACAGCTCACACCAGGCTTTATTCACCATATCTTAGCAAGACAGGCCAACATAGAAACATATAATCATACAAAAGGTGGCAAGTACAAGCAGCACCATATCCTATCCTAGGAAAAAGCATCCTACCATGCAGTCATATCTCACCAAAGCTTCATCGAATAGGAGGCATTTATAAAAAGGCCTGTGTCAAAAAATGTTATGCCTGGGGTCAAATCTAGCTACAGACCAAGTTCTATAGATATGTCTGTATTTTGTGTGATTTTTTTTTTCATGGAGAAAAACAAGTAGATAAAATACTCAAGAAACATCTTTGTAAGTCAAAAGGTTAACCATTTTATTCATGTTCACCATTCCCTCCTTCCGTTTTTTTTTTCCTTTGTGAAATAAGGGTTAATGACATCTTACTCTGAAGCTATTGTGGCCTAACATGATACAGTTATCACATTTCCTTATTTATATTTAATTGATTTTCTTCTCCCTTCTTAAGGGCATATAAATCCAGCTCTGTAGCAGAGCACATGGCAAAGTATGTGAATCAGTACAACAATCTAGTTTACGATGTCTCTGTCTTACAATGCCCAGCGGGCCTTTGAATGTAAGGCCACATCGAGTGCAAATTTGATTACCCCCAGTCCAATATTAGTGTAAGACAGATTGTTTAAGATGCACTGCTCTTTAAATTGGAAAGGCATAGAATCCTTAGAAATCTTCATAAATAAATAGCCTTCATATGTTTTTTATACGTCTCTACTAACCAGGAGTTAACTGGGTGTGTCCTCATTTCCTTAAAGAGTTTTAGCTATGTACTATTTTACAGTACTCATGATTTACCTTCACTTCGTATAATTAGCATTGTTCTAAAAAAAAAAGATGCGTGTTCCTGTCCAATTATAAGTTCACAATCATGTTTAAAAATTGAAGGCTGCTACTTCACTATTCTACCAGAGAACTGACGAATTTTATACTATCCGGTTTTCATTTGATTTCTGTGAATTTGTCAAGTGTTTGTTTGGATCGGTGTTCACTCTTAGGCTTTATATACTATTGGTTCAAATTTCAAAGCAGAAATGCGTATAAAATGTTGAAAGAGATGTTGTAATTGATGGTATTCATCTGACCTGAAATAGCTCTGAATCACTTCAACAGGATACCAGTGGAAACAAAGAATGATTTGAGTAGGACAGAAAGACAACGGTTACAATTAGATGAGATTTGAACACGCAGGCACCTCTGCTGTGATGCCAAGTGTGTATACCATATGGTCACTGAGGTAAATTTCTATCCTAGAGAAATGGCTTTCTCAGGAGGTTCTAATATATATGTAGATATATATATCTTTCCAATTGAGGTTACTTAATACCTAACTTTTGACATTTTTAGCCTATCAGGCAGTGCATTAGTATCAGATCTGTTTATGCAGGGTAACATCTAAAGACCACTGGCTAATTATATACATTGATATATCACATACCCATTACTAATATGAAGAGCTTAAAGTTGCATTTTTCTCTATTTTTATACTTGCTAAAGTAAAATTTCCAGTTGTATTAAGCAGTGCTATAGTATGTTTTTATATCTTACAAAACACTCATTTTTTTTCTTTTCCTCCATTTCTATTATATTTAATATATATAATATTTAATTTTCATATTTATGGTGTGGTGCTAGGCCTGGTTGCTGCTTTCTTTATTATATAAAGTTCTAATTTTTAAAATATAACCGGTAACATTTTTCTGATGTAGCTAGGGTTCCTTCTTCAGCAACAAGGAACCTAAAACATACATATATATCCTCTGCCAGTTATAACCTGCGGTCACAATAAATCAGTATCATGAAGGTGCATGAGATGCAGTGGAATGATTAAATCCTCTAAAATTATTGGCTTGAAACCTTTGGTGATATCATATATTGGCTGAGATTGTATTTACAGCTACTTATAAATAGCTCATCTGAATTTAACATTTTTGATTTAGACGGCATGTTCTGTTTGACATCTGTGATATTTTGGAACGTGCTCTTGAGAGCATCCAAAAATTAAATGAACTCTTTGCGATGTTTGCGAAAAAGATTTCACCACCATCCACAAGGTTGTTTCAGTATATGTTACAATCTCACAGACTCAATACTATCAGTAAATCACCGCCTTTATTAGTTTCTGGAAATAATTTCCAAAACTTCAAAAAAAAAAAAAAAGAAAAAAGATCTTTTCATGACTTTTGTGTTAACTCAGTCTACTTGATTAAAACATCCACTTCTCTTCAGATAGCACATTGAATTTAGTCAATATGGACACATTTGTTACTCTACTGTAAGATTCACAAAGTGTGGGCGTGTATTTGATACTAGAGATATTAGCATAATATGCAGAACTTGGAAGTATTATATTACTCTACCTAGGACCCAGTATATACACATCATCCACATATTGGAACTACCAGTGAAGCTGGGCAATGTTTTCATCCACCACATTGCGTTTTAAAATCACCCACAGAAAGGGAATAGGAATAAGTATATCGTATATGAAACAAATCGTGTCAATAGAAAAAGATTACAAGCAATCTGACTAGGAAAAGTAACATTTGCTTATTTCAGTAAATCAGTCTCTATCCTTTATTACTTAGTAATTATTTTCTGTAAATTATTACTTAGTAATTTATTACATCTGATTCAGAAAAGCCTTGCCCTCTGATTTATAACAGAAGTTGTCTTTGCTAGTATCATATAATGTTCTCTAATTTATCTATGGTATCTCTGCAGTTGTAAAGAGCCTCTGTATTCACCTGTTCTGATTGCCATGTCAGCACTTTGTTCTAAAAGGGGTCAATAGTTAAATTCTCAACCTCTTGAACGGTCTGATGTGGACTGACTTCTTTTTAGGGAATACAGACTGACTGGCTGTTTTAATACTTCATTTCAGTCCAGTTAACAATATATAGAACAATAATATTTGGCTAAAATTATAAACTATAGAGTTAATTTATGTAAGGAACATTACCTTGTTTACACTTGTGTTTATATTAAAGTAATAATAATGAAACAGAAGGAGAATTATGTTTTGTGATCACAAATGTGTTTTCTTTTTTTTTTTTTTTTTTATAAATTAATTTTTATTGGTGTTCAATTTACCAACATACAGAATAACACCCAGTGCTCATCCCGTCAAGTGTCCCCCTCCGTGCCCGTCACCCATTCAATGTGTTTTCAATTTGAGAAACCCTAGGTCTGAACTTTCCATGCTAGTAATGATAGTGTGATGAAAAATATTTGCTAGATTGTATGCAGGTAGATTTCTATCGATACTGAACTTGGTATATTATGTTGTTGACCTGTGGAAGTTTATCCCACATTGTTTTTGAATCACTTTTCTTATGTGCTAGACCAACTGGTCACTCTCCCCTTCATTATTCCAATAGGATCAAGACTTTCTTTTTTTCCCCCAAACTCCAAGTGGAAGAGGAGTCAGCAACCATACTCACGAAGTGCCCTGTGTACAATACACAAATAGAATCTTGATGTTTTCGGTTATATGGAACTTAATATTTTCTTATCTCTTGTAATCTCACAGCCTGAAAATTTAACTGTTCTAGTAAAGAGAGAAGCTATAGATGCCTCTTCTTATCACATTAATCTCATCTCATATTTAAGTAAATACGACCCAACACTTACCCATGACATTTCCAGAATTCAAGCATAATGACAGGGTCCTTCCCTTCTTAATGCTATGGTTATTTTCTAGCCCTTATATACTTATAGTCTTATGATGGATCAGGATTTTGTGACAAATGAGTAAAGAGGCAAAAGATTGCTTCTTCAGTTTCTTTCTCATTTTAGAAAAAATAAAATAAAATCAACATTTAATGCAGGTTTATGGAATTCCTCAATGACTTACCCATGCCCCCAAATGACAGAGTTCCTCATTTCTATGTTTAGCAAAATACAATTTCCAGTCATCTTTTTTTCTTGACACCAAAGTCCTAAAATGATTAAACCCTCCCATGAGCAAACACTGTATAAGTGAGCTTATGTAGATAGTCCTCCGTGCTCAGTAGAAGTGACTAACTCTTTATAATATCAACATCATCTAGAATGGAAGCACTGAAGTGAAGCTACAGGACTGATTTTGGTCCTCTCTCCATGCTTTCTTTCTTGGCCCTCACATACATAATCTCTGATATCTTGTCAAAATACAGTTTGCATTGCATAATGTTTTGCTGTAAAGCCATTCCTCTTTTTTAACTGTTCTTTTTTCTTATCCTTACATTATATATGTTCAGGTTGTAAGAAATCACAATCTGCAAGGCTTTGCAGCATGCCACCCATGATTACAAAATATTTTCCCAAACCAAATCATAAACATGTTGTTTAACTGAAAGACATTCTAATTTTCATGCTATGTTGAGTATAAATATAAATTCAAGGCAGCCAAACTATCCATTTCCAAATAAGAATGTGTACCTACACTCATTAAAAATCATCTGGAAATGTGTATTATTAGCAAATGAGTAAGAAATTTTCACTAGTATAAAATTCCTGCTTTATATAAAAGCCACACTGGCCATTCAAGTATTTTGAGGTTTTTTTTTTTCCCCCTATAGTTTTATATTTGTACTTAAAATGATGAATTTAGACTTGAAATTATATTAAAGGAAAATTAAAAGTCATTCTACCTATAGGGCATTTTCGAGTGTGCATGTAAAATAGCAAAGTGTCCATCTTGCAGATCCACCATCAACACTCTTTCTCTCTACTCTAAGGAAACAGCTCATGCTTACTAGGGTTTTAGAGTACAATTAACACTCCAAAGGAGAAGCAACACCAGATTTCCTTCAGTTTGTGCCAGTTTGCAAGTTAAAGGTCAAAGGGCAAAGACATAGAACAGGACTCTTCAAGGAAAATTTTCACAGAAGACAATGTTTAAGTTGTTGTTAATGACAGTCAACAGATCAATAATCAAGTTCAAGGCAAGCTGTTCATTGTTTCAAAAGCTAATCCCCTCAAAAGCTGGCTTTCACACAAAGCCAATGTCTGACTCATGGGGTGCATTCAGTCTGACCATCTCTAATAAGTTCACAGCCCAGTGGCTGTAAAGCCTTTCACTGCAAGAAGCAGCTCCTAAAAATCAATAAAGAGGTCTGTCAGTTGCTGACTTTTCTCTAGGAAAAAAATATTGATACAAACCTGCTCTGCAGGTCACATGAAAATGACAATACTGCTGTTAGGACAAATTACACTCAACAATGAAATGCTTTGGTGGTCTCTTGGCTCTGTCAGTGATCAAATGGATGGCTAAATGCCAGAAGCCACACTAACCCTTTGAGAACTATGGCTGACATGCAATAGGTAATGTACTGGAGGATATTCATGCAATCTCAGAGTCATCATTTTAAGTCATTTTAAAAATGGCAATGCTGACTGCATGTACCAAGGCAAACTGAATTTTCATGCAATGGATTTCAAAACAGAAATTCAATATGTCTAAAGAAAAAAAAAAAAAGACTTAGGCTATTATAATCAGTTCCTCAAATAAAATTTCACTCTTACATTTTCTTAATAAAATATCTTTTTATTTGCCAGAAAAATGTTTGGCAAGTAACATCGTTTCTGTTCGCTATAAACGCATTTATGTAGTACCACAAATCGCTTAAAAATTACATGGGGTTGTAGGATACCTGTTTTAGAAACCTGAACTCCTTGAACCCGTGCCTGTTTTTACCATTGCCCAGTTCTAGAATTTACCAGATAGCAAGACTGACGACCCTAAGACTCTGAAAGCTGATCTGATAGTTCTCAAAGGGTTACACCAAGGTATTACTAGTGTCACATATCCTTGTAAAATAACTGTCACTTTAAACCACTTTGGAGACATACTGCTTCTTGCTCTTAATGAATATTCCTGACAGACCCACGGAAGGCCTGGGGCAATGGCCTAATAACAACTTGGGGAGATCATCACAATGATGTAGGGGTCAGGTGGCAGGAAGGGGATTAGAAACACTTCAAAAACAATCAAAAGGTCCTGTTTGAATATAGCTATGAATATAAATGTGATGAAACATTGAGGACATAGCTGAGAACAGCTGTATAAAACGAAAAATGGATGTATTATTAAGGCTGTTACTATATTGCAGATATTTTGGCCCCTTGTTGGTCGGAAAATGGCTGTCCCAACAGTCTAAAGTCCTGCATCTGTATTCCAGATCTCCCACCTGACAAAAAAAGGAAGTGGAGGAGACTATCCATAGCAGTCAGAGAGCTATCTTCTTTGGAGACAAAGCTGTTTTGGGTCTTCACACTTTCCTGAAAGTTCAATTGTGGGTTTTTTGTTTGTTTGTTTAACCTTTTTGTTTTTCTTTGCTTTAAAGCAAAAATTCATGGGTTTTCCATTTTGCTTTTTTTCCCCCAGATATGGGCTCAGACTTCAGAAGGAAAATAATATTAGAAACCTTTAAGAAGAATCTTTTCTTCTTTTTTTTTTTTTTTTTTCCTCTTCTTTAGTTAATCCTGAAAATTTACTGGGCATTGAGCGTGCAGAGGAAAGGCCTAGAACTGAATGACAAAGAAAGACAAAGGACTGAAGAACGGCAGATACTGTGCATCATGGAAGCTTCCCCATGAGTGTGTTTCCACTCATGTGCAGGACCAGCAACCCTCTGGGTTTGAAAGGTCAGCCCTGAATCAGGCTGCCACCAGCCTGCTCCTAGCTAGGAAACAGCATAACAGCTCTTGTCTTGAATCTCAAGTTACCACAAACTCCTGGAAAAGAAAGAAAGAAAAAAAAAAACCCTACATCACACCCACTCTTGCATAGAGCGTTTACAGTACAGTATGTGGCGGGGTGTTCCTTTCCTCTTGAACTGGAACACAGTGTAAACCAATACAAGGAGGCATAAGGCCAAGATGCAGGGAATGACAATAGCTATGGCTTTCACAGTGCTGGCTGTGTTGTCCAGTTTGATGACAATGTCTACATCGTCTGGTGGGCTGTGTCCTTCTTTATCTCTGTCTGTTGGTCCATCACAGCCCATAAAATCCTTGAGGATGGATCTGGGATATCCAGGTTCTACTTTGAGTATCTGGTTGTTGAATTTCCAGTACTCCTTTCCTTTGTAGAAATACGTAAAGCCTAGAGGGGGAAACACACACACACACACACACATAGGTACCACTTATTTGGAAAATGTATACGTACAGCAGTTTTTATTAATTTAAATTAGGCTACTTTTAAAAAGAGGTATGGTAAGGCCCTTCAAATTTGCTAGGAAAAAACATTATCTCCAGCTCAGCAGTCTGTTGAAATAAACCTGGCTGGTATACTATAGTTGTGCCCTCTAATGCCTATGGAAAGCTTAGCCAAGAGGCAAAATATCTATAGAGGACTGTTAAGAGAGCCCGCTGAACACATCTACTCCTAGTCTGGAAAGAACGCTTTACCCTATTTCTTACTTGTAAGGTTGCTGTTTCAGATTTACCCATCAGGGTGATAATTCCAACCTACACTGAACTATGCTGAAACAGCAGCCTTCTACATCGAGGCACTCTGTGCCTGCACATACTGAGGACACTCCCCAATGCATTATGAGGAGGCCACCCCATGAGACACTTCAGGGGAGATTTCTCATCATCCTAGTATCAGGACCAGTTGTGTTTAAACACTAGGTTTGCCTCTGTCATTTGGACAAGAAATCATAACATTTTGTAAGTCATGAAACTATAGAGAGGTGTTTCTTTGCTAGAAATCTTAATAACTAAATAGGTATTTCGAGTATTTTCTGCACCAGCCTTATTTCTGGCTCTCGATCATGCCCATTTTGTCCTTTCTCCTTTTCCCCTTTTTATTTAACACTCTTATTGACTTATATAGTAAAGGATTAGTAGAGTATAAATAAATCTATAATTCTGCTTTTAATATTTTCAACTGAAATACTTCACGGGGGAGGAGGTGGTATGTGGAGGGCTCATGTAACCAGCAATCCATATGAGGCATGTTCCAAAACATCATGGATGCAGATAATAGACTCTGAAAGCTTGTGAACATTAAACTACAAATATGTGTGTTTTCCTTAGGACTGTTTTCTAAATTGTTGTTTTTGTTGGGAAAAAAAAAAAAGTTTTTCTTTTCATCCAGAGCTTCTTCATCCTAAGTTTTTTTGTGACTGTACTCTTAGGACTTAATTCCTGCTTTAAGACAAAATTCAAGAAACTACAATGAAATACTTTAACGTTATCAATACTTAAAAACTGTATTTTGAGAGCTATCTGTTTTGAATAGTACACCTACTTTAGAGTTAGTAATCATTAATGAGGGTTTTTTTTTAAATCCTGTATTATTGAGCACTTATTATGGAAGAAGTACTATGCTTAAAACTCAGTAAATAACATATTTTAATCCTTATGACCACTCTGTTAGGTAGAATTATTTACCTATGCTTTTCAGGCAAAGATACTGAGGTTCAAGCATAAGATAATATATCCAAGTCCTGGTGAAAGCAGAATTTAAATCTTGATCTAGTTCTAGAGTTCTGAACACTTAATGATTTTCTTAAAACTATGTCCTTTAGAGATCTCCTGTCCTTTAACAATTGCTTCTTGATTAAACATCACAGGTTGTGACAGGTAAAACCCATGCAACAAAAAACTCTGACACCTTTCAAAAAATTTCATCTAGGATAGACCAATCACTTCAGGTCAATCCATTTAGGAAATCATTCTGTTCAATGCCATAAAAATCTGCTGTTGCTTTTAGTTTCCAAGGGCAGTTCTGCAATCAGAGTAACATGCCAAGTGAAAACAGGTGTATGTAGATTCAAATATTTCAGCAGGGAGCTGGTATTTGATCACGCTAATGAAATCCAATGTAATTACTCAACAAGTTTGGATGAAGAAATGTTGAGGACTTGCCAAATAACAGTACATTAGACAATCGCAGTTGAATAATGGCATTGATTTAGAATTAAACAGACCTTCAAAACAGGTGAATGTACTTCTTATATTTATAAACTGGAAACCAACAGCTGGAAGTGTCCTCATCTTTAATTTTTAGTCAAAGCTAATTACTGTGAACCTACCAGGTTCCATAAAAAAGTTCAGAAGTTTCCATTTTCGTATTTATGCAGGCCAAATTTTGTAGTAGCACACTCCGTATACAGGAGTAGAATTGTAGTTTACTGAATATACTTGTTAACAAGTCTAGTCAGTAGAAGTTAAATAATGAAAGTATTTGAAAAGAAGTGGCCTGCGATCTTGGTAATAGAAATCTGTTAAACCTTGATCCCACAATATTCATCTCATTTGATAATGTAAGTCTGTTTCCGTCCCCCACTTAAGAAATAGCAGTTGGTTAAAGAAATGTTTATGTACTCATTTTTTCTTCCTTTTTAAGAGTAGCTTTGATGTTATACTCTTGTAGATGTTTTGCTTATCAAGAACAGCACCTTCAGATGAATTCTTGCCTGAATTACTATTTTTTGAGAAATCCTGGGAAAGAATTCAGTGAGGTTGCAATGTATTATGTGATGACTTTTTTTTCCTCCCACATGTGACCAGATTTTACTGGTGACTTTTCTATTGCTTAGTCCTAAAATGTAGTAAGACACCGTCCACCATCATTGTCTTGTTCTAACACAGTAGATGTTCCTGAATGACAGTGTCTACGTGTTCTCTGTCTTCCACTTTTATATGTTTATTAGTAAGAAGTTAATTAGTGTTTAATATAATGAATGAATAAACTAACTCTTGTGGAAATACGTGTATATTTTAACAGAGAGTGAGGGTGGGGAGGAGGGACTAGAGCAAATCAATAGACTCAAAAGTCAAAACTATTTTAATAGGCTAACGTAGTCAAGACTATTTTAACAGCTCTCAGACTATTTTCATTTGCCTAAATGAAAGGCAACAGTTTGAAAAGTAGAATCTTGTATTTGCCTTAAAATTGCATTTTTCTAAGGAGGAAATATAGAATACCTGCATGATATGGCTTGAGAGCAATTAACATAGAAACAATTTGAAGGAGAGGGACTGCAGTAATTCTTTACTACAACTTTAGTATGGGTTACAAACTCACCGTGCCTTAAAACATGGTCAACTAAGGAGTGCTAAGAAGAAATCACTCCACTATACTCTGCATGAGTCAAATCTCATTTAGACTGTTGTATTTTTAAGGACTAAAAGTAAAGAGGAAAATGAAAAAGCTGTTAAATTAAGATGGTTATCGGTGAAAATCAGGAGGATGATGACTCAGGAAGCTACGTTCTAAGAAAGATACTTGTCTAGTACAACAAGATGAAAAATTTAACCAGACACGACAGATAATCAGTTACTTCAATGAATATATACTATAGAGAAAGGTGTTAACTTTTCCTCTTTGGAGAAAATGCATTACAGCATGTTCGGTGGGGCTAGAATGTCCTAGTTTCGAGCTTCAAATATATAATTTTACCTTTTCTATGATCATGAATAAGTTACTTAAACTGATACCAGTTTCCTTCTTTAGAAATAATAACAAGGCCATCAAAGGGTATTTATGTTGGACAATTAAATTAGATAATGAATTCATATATCCGATATATGATAGGCATTCAATAAATAGCACCAAGTATTCATATTTCATCGGTAAAAATGGGAGAATTAATATCAGTAAGTATATACGGAGGCATATTCCACCTTAATATGAAAAATATCCTTCAAAAATCTATAACTGGGTTTCTGAATTTGTGGACTTTTGCTTAAGATTACCACTAGGAGAAGGTTCCAAGGAAGAAATTCCTACACTGATGGAAGGATAGACCGGAGAAAATATTCAGTGTTTTATCGTCTCTAGCTTTATGACTATCAAATTTAATGTGCACAGACTTTTGGGAATTACTTTGAGTCAAAATATAAATATAAATTTGTTTACTTAATAATTTGAACTTGTTATCTTTCATGCACAAACCTAAGGGAAGAATCTGTGTAAAGTATGAATTTAACATAAAAAGCAACAAGCATGAAATTTGTAGGTAATAAAAAGTTGAGAATTTGCTGTTGATAGACCAAAGCCTTCCAGAATCTTTGATGTTGCTATTGTACAGAACAAGGGTTTCAGACAGATGAGATCTCTCTTCCAGGGAGGGAATTTTTGGAATAATGGGAGGGATAAAATTAATTCATATGACTAATATTTATTGTATGTTTAGTCTGTGGCTTCTTCAAAGAGGGGATAATGAGCATATAAAATGATCATTGTAATATGAGATCTGAGTGCAAGGGATAGGATAACCACAGAAGGATAATCAAGGAGGATATTCTGAAAGATGAAAAGTGAGCTCAGTGAAGGATATCAAAGAAGAAGGCCAGATCAGTAAAAGTCCAGAAAAAAATAGATACATCAAAGTTTCATCTGTAGTTTTTAGTCATTTGTAAGCATTGATTTATTTGTCAGTATTTTACAAAGTTAGTTTTTGCTATGTGAAAAGAAACCATGAAGTTCTGAATATAATAAACTGTTGTTGCTTTTTTTCCCTTATGAAATTGACTCGAGGTGAGAAGATCGTGGGGGAAACACTCATGGAATTATGATCTTCGCAGTCTCAGTCCTGGTTTATACAACACACAAAATTGGTGAAAATCGATAGTATTTTGTTAATTGTGTTAATATAACATAAAAAGAATATAATTACATATTAGAATTTAAAAAGCTAGATGTGTTGCTTCATACTTATCCAGAAACCATTTATGAAAGAGTTAATTCAGTTCAGAATATGCTTCTCAGTACAACTTGACTGATACATACTATATGAATATTATTAAATATTCAGATGGAAAAGAGTATGAAAAATCATGGGGCAGGGGGCAGCAAGAAGGTTTTTTTTGTTATTTTTATATAATTATGATTTATTCCCAGAGAATCTGAATCAAATCTCAGATATCAGTGGCCTTATAGATGGAAACAGGGAAAATGAAAATTACTGTGGTAAAGAATTATGATTATGTGTATTTTTTAAATCTTTTGAAACTTATTACTTATTTTAAAAGCTATTTTTATCTTAAAAGATAAACTCAGTTAAGAAAATTGATGAAATAAAGACAAATTAAATCCATAGAAGAGGACAGAGATGTAAAGATATCTGTCAAAAGGATATCAATAAGAAAATGGAAGAAGTAACAGTGCAGTCACACCAGAGGCAATAAATCAGATCAAAATAGGGACCAAACTCAAACTATGCAGATGAGGATTAAAAGGACAAAGAAATGGAAAAAAAGTGAAATTAATAAATAATTTTTAATTAACAATTAATAAACTAAAGACAAATGAGAAATTGTTACCCAAGTTTGTTGAATTAATAACTAATAAGATCCTGGTTGAATTTTCTGTGCAATATTTTTGTATGGTATTCAAAATTTTGTATGTGATAACTTTTATTGAAGACAGTCTAGAGCAGCGGTAAGACTTACGTAAATATTAGCAAGAGCTGGTTTTATCTGCGCTTCAATAAACACATTTATTCTAACTTCCAAGAAATCTCCTCTCCCTCTAGTTTCTTCCTTGGTAACACCTACAGTTCATAGGGGCGATCGCAATTTCCTGCCTCCATGCCATCATTTTTCACAGTTTTTTCATTTCTTTGTCCTTTTATTCCTCATCCTCATAGTTTGAGTTCAGGGCCCTATTTTGGTCTGACTTATTGCCTCCAACGTGACCGCACTTTTCCTTCCTTTATTTTCTTATTGATATCCATTTGACAGATACGTTTTCAACTCTATCTGTCCTCTTCTATGGACTTCTGCTTTCATCACATACAGGCTCTGTATCTTAACTTGGTCCTTTAATTTTCTGAGCCAATAGAATATACACAAAATCTGTAATTCTCAGCAAGTGCTATATGATCAGGGCTCCAAGGGTCTTTTTGACTCTGCCTCTGCCTATGGCATATTACTTATGGGGCACTATCATACGGAATGTAGTACATCACTTCATATAACAAGTGTCAAAATACAGTTTGTGTACTTTGACTTTTCTGATTGGTGTTTATCGATCCTGAGTCAGTTCCTTCAGATTTACACTCAGTGTAGAGTTTACCTTAAACTCTGGCAATAACGTTGATCATTAATTGCAGTCTTCAGTAGTGGTGTGGATTTTTCATTTTCCTCCCATTTCTTCAGTTAACTTTTCTGTTCTTTCCTCTCCTGACATGTTTAATTTTGTTGTTGTAAGTGATGTTTATTTTGTTCTTGCTGCATATATGTTATAGACTTTTCATGCTATTGAGGACCCGCATGGTATATCATTTTCTTTTTTTTTTCTTTTTTTCTTTTCGGTATATCATTTTCTTACAGTTCCTATTATAAATCATTTGGTGGGGTGCATTTTTTCTACATATTTCAGAATGATTTTTCTTTCCTTTGTTCTGGAATATTATATATAAGTCATATTTTGAATGATCATTATGGTTTATTCCTACTTGCTGATTTCTGAATGAAGAGAGAAATGTTGAGATTTTATGTACGCCAACAGATAGGAGTGTAGGGATTTTCTGTCGCGTGGCTAACTTTCCTCTTAGGATTTGGCTGAAACTCAAATCCTGAGATAGAGAACAAGGAATGTGGGCAGCTCTCTGCTCTGCTTCTTGTTATTAAGCAATCATACAGTCGCTTAGCCTGGTTGTATGGAGTAGGCATATTCCCTCCTTGCTGACACTCTAAGTAAAGGTGTGCATGAAAAATTAAAATCTTCAACATGCACAACTGCCAGGTGTCTGTGTCTCAGCCCACACTTAACAACATACCTTCCTTTTGACCAGTTCCTGTCCTATATATGTCTGTTACTAACTTTATAGGAATTTTAATAGAAAAATAGGTGACGTTACTTTGAAGGTAGCCACACCCTCCATTTTAAAAATTGCCTTTATTTTTTTTCTCATAAACTAAAATAAGCTGAGGTTAAAAAACACCTGGAGCATAATATTAAACATAAATCTAGGATGGAAAGTTCATGTAAATATAATATTTTATAGCCCTAGCATCGTACTTTCTAATGATTTAACATAATGAAAAATTAGAATGCATTATTGAAATACTTAGTAAACTCATGAAATATATAATGCACATGCTGCATACCATTTTCTTTGTGCACAAAGGCTCCTTGAGGAGATTCAGGGATACCTTTCCAGACTGTGATTGGTTTGGGATAGCCAGGGTCCATGGTCTTCATTTCTTCACTGTATCTCCAATACCTAAAAAGAACAATAAACAAAAACAACAAAAACAAAACACATGCGTAGGGAAGGAAATTATGTGTACACAGTAACAGCTAACATTCATTAAATCCTTACTGTATGCTGTTAATGACTTACAGAACTTATTAAATACATCAGAAAGACAGTGGACACCAACAGCATTTGTTTTATTTCCTTTCTTGCTATGTTAAAAGCGTGTATTGTTACTGTATATTCAGTCTGCCAAAATTAATTTAAAATTCTAGCTAAAAAATTGTGCTTGCTAAATATATATACAATTCAAAAAGATATCACTAACTTATGGATAAATAAGTGGTTTTCACGATCGTTTTATAAATCTTTCTTATTAGGAAGCAGAACGCTTTTGTTTTTTTGGAATCATCTTTAGCAGAATCTTCATTCATTCATTTATTCATTTAAGAAATATTTACTGAGTACCTATTCTTATATTTCTGGCATATTGTAGATGTTAGAGATGTAACTTTGAACAAAACAGGCTCCAGCTCTCATCAGTGTTACATTCTGGGATATGTACGGGTTCTAGGCAATAAAACAACTTATTAACAAATACATACTGTGATAGGAGGTGGTAAGTTTAAGAAAATAAGCAGATAAAGTTAGCAGTATAGGGAAGCAATTTTATTTATTTATTTATTTATTTTTGGAGGGGGGAAGCAATTTTAAATACTAAACATAAAGGTCCTTTCTTGTGTTTTTAAAAGATTTTGTTTATTTATTCATGAGAGACACAGAGAGAGAGAGGCAGAAACAGGCAGAGAGAGAAGCAGGCTCCATGCAGGAAGCCCGATGTGGGACTCGATCCCGGGCCTCCAAGTTCACACCCTGGGCCAAAGGGCAGACGCTAAACCGCTGAGCCACCCAGGTGGCCCCATAGAAGTCCTTTCTTTATCAGACATTCAAGCAGAAATAAGTGAGGTCCAACATACACAGTTTTTGGAGAAATCTATTCCAGGGACAGGAACTAGTAATGAAAGTTACAGTGGCAAGCACAAACCTGGAGTAATTAAGCGTCCACAAGGAGGCTAGGGTGACTAGGATTGAGTCAACAATGGAAATAAAGGTCAGAGTGGGAACCAGAATCTAAGATTAGAAAGACCTTTATTATGATAGCAAAGCCTCTGATTTTCCACTAAGGAATATGTGAGGCCAACACAGATTTTGAGCAGGGAGCTTCACGATATGGCCGATGTTTGAAAGGAACACCCTGGTTGCTGTGAGTTAAATAGACTTAAGGAGGTAAAATAGAAGCAGGGATACCAGTCAGGATGTCACTGCAATAAACCTTGGACTAGAATGTAAACTACAGAGTTGAGGATAATTCAAAGGGTTGGGCTATCTTTTGAAAGGAAATCCCGAAGAGCTTACTCATGCTCATGGATTGAATGCAGGGTCCAAGAGAAGGGAGTTGGGCATAACTCAGGAATTTGGGGCCTGAACATGTGGAAGAATCATGTTGCCTTTCAGTAAGATAAGGAAATGGGGGCAGGTAAGTTGGGTTTGTCTGAAGAATTATGAGTTTGATTTTAGATATGTTAAATTCAGATACCTGCAAGACATCAAGGTGAAGAACTGTTGATGAGGCAATTGGCTATAGGAGTGTAGACTTAGGGCAGGCCTTGACTAGAGTGCTCAGGGTAGAGATAAGGAAACTAGATCAAAGGAAAGCTCGCCGAGAGTCAGAACTCTGAGATCCCCATGCCTTCACAGGGTGGCCCATGAGCCACTTTCACAGACCTGCTAGACACCCAAAGAATAAACTGCAACCAGCCCTACTTTGGATCACTCAGTTTTGTTTAAAATGTTCTAGGAGTCAAGCGAGTTTATGTCTTGAATGTTCAAAAGGAATGACAAAACTGGGGTGAAACCATTGACAGTTCACAGCACATTGCATACTTTAAGGCAGGCATATGCTCTACGCAGTATCTCATTTAATCACAATAAACCCATGAGATAGCCATCATTGTCCCCTTTTAAGAGAGGAGAATTCTAAGAGGACAATGAGGGTTAGACTTATAACCAGTTCTATCTGATTTTAAAAGTCCTCACTCCTTCCTCTACGCACACCAAATATGTTTTCCAAATTTAAATTTATTTGACAACCTTTTGTCATTTTTTTCCCACTAAACATCTCTTATCACCTACTAAAGCTAGTGTTTTACCAACACAAGTTTGGGAAGTGATGTACTTAATGCATTATCTCAGGATTAGGCACTTTGGCTGAAAACGGAAAAAAAATAAGGTTTTTCTGGTCCTTTCTGGATAGTTTCTTATTCGAGGCCTATGGAAGATTCTTTATCTACAGAGTTGTGGGGTTTTGTACATAAGGTTTTGCTATAATTCCCTAGAAACATCCACTCAAGTAACATCTGGAATACTAGCAACTCTTCCATTCTCAATGTTTACTTGGAAATGAGAAAAAGATCGTTTCAGGCAGTATTCCAATAAGTGAGCCACAAGGCAGATTTTATCCAAAAAGAGAAACACCTCTTATAGGTATTTGTCACAGAACACGCTGTGATGAATGCAAAATGGTTAATGTGGTTGATGAAACTGCACTCAAAATTTCAAGATACCTTCTCTCAAGTAAATATTTCAATGGAGTTTACAATAGTCATATACATCAACTGGTTCCTGCACTTGACCAAAAAGAAAATGTCTTGGGGAGAATTAGCCAAATGACTTATTTTTGGATTCTAAGAAACTTTTTTTTTTTTTTACATTTTACCTGGCTAATATTAGAATGCACTTTACAGTAGATACTGTACCAAAGTTTACTTGGTAGGGTTTTTACCCTCCATGATAGATCAAATAATGACATATCTTACAATAGTTGTCATTTTTAGATATAAACTATAACTTAGAGTAAGTTTTGAAATACTGCTTAGTCAGAAGTTTGGAACAATTAAAAATCCTGGGGACAACGGGATCACACCCTGTAGGTGATTTAAGAAAGTATTAATTACATACTTAGGAACCACGTTTGTTCTCTGAGAGGTAGTTGTAACAATGTTCTTGTAACAATACCAATAATTTGTGTAGGTTTTTGAAGCTATAAAGTAAATTTATACACAAACATGGTTTTATTTCATTTAAGTCCCTCAAAAATCTTTTATATTGAATATTACAGTGTTTTTTTATGATGTCCTTAGCATAGATTAAGTATTTATGTTTATTCAACTCAGTCAATGCTAGAGCATTAAAAGATAATGATTTAGTTTTGTTTACTCTTTTGAAATGTTGCAGAGTTGAGACTAATGCTGCTGGATTCATAGGTTAGCATATGACTGTTATTGTTTCCCTTGGCGGAGCATTCTTACCCTCAGTGCTAACTCCTAAGATACACTGCTTGAGTATCATTTTCCTTCTTTTCTCCTTCTGTTCACTCACAGACCCACTGACCCACCAAGACTTTTCTTGAACCAGGCACCTAAGATTCACAGAGATCACATTTCCAGAAAATATTAATGGAATGTGAATTTACTTACACTCTTGTAGGAACACAATTCTGGTATGAATTTTACCCTTTTGTCACTAGCAGATAATGCAAAACTATAATTTGGGATCATTTCACAATCTTTTTTAAACACCCAACATGGGCTTGGACTTAGGTTATCTGCTGTGTGGCAGCTTTGATAAATACCCAGTAAACTTGTATGTGATTAGAATCATCTAACTATATTCAGAGCTGCCTTAGAAGAGGTGCTGAAGCTTATTCATAAATACAGGTTTGAATTTTAACTTCCAACATTTTTGAACATATTTCAGCGTGAACAAAAAGCTCATTCCACTGATTTTTTCTTCTCCCTGAAAAATAAGCTTATGGATTCATTGAAAAGCATATTAACATATTCAGATGAAGCCTGTGTAAATGAACCATTTTGGGGGGGGGTTACAACTTAGATATTATAGGAAAAAAAACCTGGAATTTTGGCAGGAGGGTGGGCAAATGATAAAAGCTATTATAAGTGAAACTTACAGTTCTTTTTCTTCTGATATATCCATTATCTCTACTGTAGCATTATGACTTTAAATTGCTGATTCTTTGAGAAAAGTATTGTGAATCAATGCTTCAAAATAAATTATAATTGGAAATGAGATTTATCATTTTTTTTACTTTGACCATGGGTCATATCCATAAAAGACAAAAACTGTCCATGTAATGGTATACAACATTTTGTTAAAAGCTTTCTCTGCTAAGAAATGCTTTCTCTGCTAAGAAAAAAAAATGGTACAGAAAATTATAGAATGCCATACTTTAATGGCATATTGCTAGATACTAAATTCAAACTGAACAAAAAGTGGCTCCAAGGGTTATTTCATGTGACCCACCCATTTGTTCATCCTACTTTGTCTCATTTCTGTACTACAGACTACTTGCTTAAGTTACACAAAATATAGGACCACTTCTTTTTTTCATATCCAAATAGTTACTCAAAATCCCACTTTTCAGAAACAAGTTTCTGGAACTTGAGATTCCAAGAGAACACTGATAATTCTTAAACACGCATCAGAATTGGAAATATTAATCTACTGTGTTGGATGATTTTAAAAACACATATATTAATTACTTCATAAACAAACAAGTTAAGCTGGAAGAAATAAACATGTTTTTCTGTTTGACTATTAGTGGTAATAATGGTAAAAACCAAAGTGGATCTAAACTTGTCTTTCTTTGAAAAATATCATAAAATTCTTAAAAGTTAAGCTTAGAATGAAGTATGGCAACAGAGCCCTGTATATATTTGTGAGAAGATGCTGAGAGATGATTTAGAAACATAGCATTTTAGAGTTAAATGCTATGAGGATGCAAAATGTATCCAAGCATCAAATTATAGTGTATTAAGAAAAGGGCAAGTGGGAATCTAAGAACTGAGTTTCAAGCTATATGTAAAATAGTGGGAAATAGTGGAAAATTTTATCTGACTTTACAGATTTACTTAAAGAGCCATCTTTTCAACTATTCTTCTTTAGCTATCTCTATACTTAGGTAGTCCCCTGCTTTTAATGCAATTTATGTCAATTGTTCTCCAATGTGTACCTCAGAGCGAACTTTCCATTGAGAAGCAAACTCAAAATATCCAAGTACCTACTTGATTCCTCCAGTTGGTGTGTAAAACAGACATCTCAATCTAAATATGAACATTTCAACCTTTTAATCCGCCTTCCCCAATATTCCTTCCCCTTGTCTGCCCTATTTCTGGAAATGGCACCATCTATGCAATTTTTCAGGTCTGAAAAACCTAGAAGTTATCTTTAATTTGCTTTTGTCCTCACCTCTAAAATCTAAGCCATAATAAGGACTTGTTCTTATTACATTCAAAATATATCCTGTAACTACCCTTTTTGTTCTATCTCCACTACAACCTCCGTATTTCCCTGTACTACTCCAGCATTCTTCCCAGTTACGCTCTTTGCTTCCACTCCTGAGCCCATTCTTCACACGGAAGCCATAGGGATGTTTGTGAATACACATCAGATCACTTTAATTTCCTGTTAAAAATCCTCCAATGCCTTTCCATTGTACATGAAATAAAATCCAACATCTTTGCTGTGGTCTATAAGGCCCCATATAATCTGGTCCCTATTTGACTTCCTTTACCACTTAACTGGCTAGGCTCTAGCCACAAAGTTTTAACTGATTTAAACATTCCAATATTATTGCTTGTGTCCTACTGTGTCATCTGCCTATCACATATTGTTCCAAACGGCTTCATGTGGCTGAAACTTCACCCATTCAAGTCTCCACTCTAGCGTCCCCTTCATAAGTGAGGTCTTGTCTGACTTCCACACTGATTTTCCAACTGCTCCTTACCACCCATGAGTCTCTATCACATTACCACCTTGCTTTATTTCTTTGTAGCATTTCTCAATGTTAAAGTTTCAGGCTCATTTACTTGTTTGCTGCTTACTATTGTCTCCTTTAATAGAAGTTAGGTGCCACGGGAGCAGAAACCTCGTGGTCCTTTCTAGCACATGTCACATCACATGCGCTCAAAATATTTTATTTATTTATTTATTTATTTATTTATTTATTTATTTATTTATTTATTTATTTATTTATTTATTTATTTATGATAGTCACACAGAGAGAGAGAGAGAGAGGCAAAGACATAGGCAGAGGGAGAAGCAGGCTCCATGCACCTGGAGCCCGACATGGGATTCGATCCCAGGTCTCCAGGATCGTGCCCTGGGCCAAAGGCAGGCGCCAAACCGCTGCGCCACCCAGGGATCCCAAAATATTTTTTTTGCGTAAATGAATTGAAGGCTATGCCAGGACTACTATAGACATCTTAAGGAAGTAGGAATTAGAGGTATTGAGACTGGAAAAGGTTATATCATATTCACACTATCATGATGGACAGTTGGGTTAGAGTAGGATGATTTTCTGTGGAATATAATTGAGTGTGTCTACACACTGGGTAGGATGTGAACAAGATGCAGGGCTGACATAGGGTAGCACTTGGACCAAATCTAACTTAAAGCTGTGCTTTGGGGGATCCCTAGGTGGCTTAGCGGTTTAGCACCTGCCTTTGGCTCAGGGCATGATCCTGGAGTCCTGGAATCGAGTCCCGTGTCAGGCTCCCAGCATGGAGCCTGCTTCTCCCTCTGCCCGTGTCTATGCCCCCCCCCACCCCCCATCTAACATGAATAAATAAACAAAATCTTTTTTTTTAAGCTGTGCTTTGTTTGTCTAGCATATTAAGTAAATGATCCTGGCTCTGAGCACTTTTCTAGTGTATTTGTACTTTCCAGCTCACTACTACTGCCTTTCATACTATTGCTGTACCAGTAGTACGTATATTATCTGCTTGACCCTTTAAAGCAATTGAGTTTTTCACACCTGGAACAGATGATCTCTAAAATCCCTTTCTGCTCTTAGCCTCAGAGAAATAGAAACCTATTAATCAACACCCACCCTGCCGTCCCGCCTCACCGCCCTTCTTAAGCAGAAAGATTGCAGCGGGGGGAGAGGGAGAAGTAAGGACAAAACAATTTGCAATGTTTTCTCTCAAAACTGGACATAGAAAATAAAGAAAACATCAAAAAATTGATAAGTATGAAAAATACACAATGTAAGGAAGAAAGACTCACTGAATTCGTCTATAAATGTGACAACCAAATTGTCATTTATACGTTTCGGACAGGTAGTTTATTTAATGTCTTGTCCATCTACTTTTAATCTAGAATGAGCGTATTGACAAATTATGATTTTGGAATTATAGAATTATGTGAATATGAGGTAATCTGCTTAAAAAACATCCATGACTCATAAAATCTTACATAAGATCACACACATGGAAATTAACTGGACTGCTGCTTTTACATATTTTTAAACCTATAAAACCAGTTATTAAGGCAGAGCTTAAAATAAAGTATTCTTCTATGTATTTTGTTGTATTTGCAGGTAGCTTCTCAAGTAGGAAACAAATGTATTAAAACTCCTCTTCCCATTTACTAGTATTTCCCTTTATTCTAGTATGAATTTGGTATCTAATCTTCATTGCTTTCACTGATTGGAGGAAGTGCACATTTAGTTTCTAAACTTAAAATTTTAAGGAAGTGCTAAATTTTTCGATTGGAAACATTTTAAAAGTAATATCCGCATGTGTGAAAAAAATAGGCTACCTGATAATAGAATGGCAGTTTTTATCACCATCTGCGAAATCCTGTGAAAACTGTTGCATGAAAGCTAAGCGTCATGTTCTGTCCTGCAGAAGTGTTTTGTCAGACTTTTGTTTCTATACCTTTCTCAAACAAAACAAAACAAAACAAAAAAACAACCCTAACAAACAGAAAACCCCCCAAACCCCCAAAGAATTCCTTAAACCTGGTCCTGAAAGAGTATATTCGAGCAATTAAAATGGCTGGGAACTTAAACTTACCTTCAAGGCTGTTATTTTATTTTATTATTTTTTAAATATTTAAATATTCATTTATTCATTAATTTATTGATATTTAATAAATTAAATATTAATTTATTCAAAGAGAGAGAGAGGCAGAGACACGGCAGAGGGAGAAGCAGGCTCCATGCAGGGAGCCCAACACGGGACTCGATCCCGGGTCTCCAGGATCATGCCCTGGGCTAAAGGCAGGCACTCAACCGCTGTGCCACCCATGTGCCCCAAGGTTATTTTAGAGTATGTCCTAAGTCTGCAGATTTATTTTCATTAGTGGTCACCATGCTGTGGCCCTCAATTTCTTTATTCTTGTTTCCTACTCCATTACACTTATAGATTGCTGAGAACCATATACTTTTTCTGGCTGTAAGTAGCATCTTCTCCTTTAATAGAATTTTGGTTTGATAGACCTTTTTTTGTTTGTGATTTGGTAAACATTTAGCACCTCAGTTTCATGATAGTGCATTAAAACATTTTGCCATAGAAGTATATGCAAATCAAATATATAGAAAGCTAGCAACAGAATAAATTGAAAAGTTCTTATCCATGGAGACAAATTACACAAATCTTTTGTTCATGATAAAGCTCAATGTTTGAAATCACTTGCAATTAAATACTGCGAATTGTAAAATAAGGTTTATGTCCTTACATATCTTTCTCCTAAAGTTGGAGATATTTTATAAGGTTATACTGTGCCAAGATTATGAGGCAAACTCAATACTAGCTAGATGGGCATTAAAGCCTGTTGTTCTGTTTACGTGTAGGTGTGTATATTCTTAATTTACTGTAAAATGCAGTAAAATGCGTACTTAAGTTCTTCTACATACTAATAAAAGTTATATTGAGTGTCACATTTGACCTAGCTAGTAATTGTGTAATTAAACATTTTTCATCTCTATTACTTTTTCTACCTAACATTTATTTAGATTAATAAAAAATATAGACTTCAAGTTACATTTTATGTGTAATTTATATCAAAGGTGCATGGGGAAGCCATGCATGCCTAGTAGATGCTACAATTTTAAGACTAACAATTCACTTTTTACTAATGCCATAAAAAAAAAAAAAAAAAAAGGAAAGGATAAGAAACAAAAGGGAAGTTTGGGTGGCTCAGCGGTTTAGCACCACTTTAGGCCCAGGGCCTCATCCTGGAGAGGGATCGAGTCCCATGTCGGGCTCCCTGCATGGAGCCTGCTTCTCCCTCTGCCTGTGTCTCTTGCCTCTCTCTGTCTCTCTCTCTCTCTCTCTGTGTCTCTCATGAATAAATAGATGAAATCTTAAAAAACAAACAAACAAAAAACAGTTTAAAAAAATAAATGAAAGAAAGTTGCAGGGAAAGGATACTACACTTCAAGCTAAGTGATCAGTTTGCCTAGTTCATGAACACCTGTTCGTTGACACCTAAATAATCAGCTTCTTAAGAAACAGAACTCATACTAAACCGAAACTGTGTGAAAATGTTTACAATGAACAGTGTGCAGAGTATAAAAATTTAACTTTCAAATGAAAGAAAAAAAAAGCCTTTGTGAAATGTGCTTTTAAAAATAAAGTTATGTTAAAATGAAAAGAAAATTCATTGCAAGATTACAGGCACCCTGGTCACACAGATTTATAAGCATGTTAAGCTTATGGCTAAGAGGAAGAACTTAAACATTCATAAGAAGGTTGTATTATTTGGGAATATTATTGTAAGATTTATCTTGAATACTATTTAGAAAGACTTTAAAAATATTTTTGATTTCATTAATCCTTGTCTTTATATCCACACAGATTCGTAATCAATAGTACATGTCTATTATAGAATAGAAATATCAACTTTTCTGAACATTAGTTAACTATTTTCTTCACATGGAAGGTGTACTGACCTGTCTCCCTTGAAGAAATAGGTTTTCCCAACGTCTTCCCACCAAATGGCTGAATCAATACCATGCGGGGGGATTCCACTTCCAAGAGTAATCAAATCATGAGGATAACCGGGTTGAAGAGTCGTATCCTTAAACACCCAGTATTTGTTACCTGTATGAAAGAAGTGCAGTTGTAGAATACAATAATTTAATATCAGAAATTAGAACATATCTATGAATACAATGCATTTAAAGTTATTTTACATGAAATTCATAATAAGTAGTAGTCACATTTGGAACACGGATGTTATTTTTGAAAGATTATCTACAAAAATGGATAAAATGGGTATTTAATGATATAATCAGAATTTGTGAATTAATGTAAAAATAAAAAAGATCTACAACTTGCCATAATACACCAATTATGAATCAAGAATCGGGGCAGCCCCGGTGGCGCAGCGGTTTGGCGCCGCCTGCGGCCTGGGGTGTGATCCTGGAGACCCAGGATCGAGTCCCACATCGGGCTCCCTGCATGGAGCCTGCTTCTCCTTCTGTCTGTGTCTCTGCCCCTCTCTCTCTGTGCCTATGAATAAATAAATAAAATCTTAAAAAAAAAAAAAAGAATCAGGACTTTTCCTCTAGGAATTCCTAGGAATTTCCTCTAGGAATCAGACACGCTATTTTTATTTTAAGGCTAAATCATGACTGTGTTCTGTGCATTCTGTGTACTCTCAGATTGCTTTATTGATTACAACCTCTACTCTGTTGAAACACATCCTCTAGGCTGATCCTTTCCTATTATTATAAACATTCACAAGTTTCTTTAGTGTTACAAAGTTATCCTCCTTTGACCCTACGCCCTCTTTTAGTGTTTATACTATCCCTCTCTTTAATAAGAATGGTAACCTAAGGGGAGGAGAATTTAACCCTAATCCTGTTGGGAATTGTGGGAGCATGCCAATATTAAAAAGAAGACAAACTTTAGTTTTATTGCTGTTCTGAAATTATCTACAGACAACACACTTCCTCATGTCCTATGCCTCTGGCAGACTGGGCCCACCACTCCCCTCTCTGGTATGCCTCTCAAATAATCTATAAACATTTCTCACTCCACTGAAATTGATATAACACCTACTTTCCACCGAAAACTTTTGTTCTGACGTCAGCAATGCCTTTCAAGGAAATAATTCTCCATCCTTATCTATTGACACAGTTGGCTACTTAAAACCATTTTTGGGGGTGGAGGAGTCTTTTTTTCTCTGGGCTACATTCTGGACTTTATTTCCCCCCTCAGTTCCTAAATGTTGACACTTCCTAGAGCTTTGGTCTCGACCTCCTCTCTTCTTATTCTAAATCAGGAGATAGGAAGTAAGGATAAAACATTCATGTTACACCTTAAGGAAGTAAAAAAAAACAAACAAAAAAAACCAAAAAACAAAAAACCCCCACAAAAACAAAAAAACACCATGTTTTGGCCTAAAACAACACAACACAAAGCAAAAAAAAAAATCATGTCTTCAGTCTAGATTTAGTTAGGTGTCTCTAGTCTGTTACAGGAGTAATTTTATTTACTTCAAGAGCTTCTACGACCATTTGATACCATTAAAAAAAGCCATTTATTAAATATCTTCAGTGTCCCAACTATCATGTTAGGTACTAAGGATACTAAAGACAACAAGACAGACCTGATCACTACACTGATCATCCTGCATTCTAGTGGATTAGGCAGACAAAACCAAATATACAAAAATATAATTGTAGTAACTGAAAAACTACTGAATGCTACAAAGGAAAGACATCAGGGGTTGAGAAAAAAGAAATCCTAAGGGGTCTCCTTTAAAGTAAGGAGATGAGGAAAGTCTCTCTGAAGAAATAACATTTAAACCAAAATTTAAAGAAAGAGAAGAAGATGATAGCTATGCAAAGAGTGTCAGGAACAGTATGCCAAGAAAATGAGTTCTGTATGATGACAAATGAAAAGATCAGTGGAGTGTAATGAACAAGGCAGTGGTACTGAAAATGTATATGGGGGTTTCAGTCTTATTTGGAGGGTACTGAGAAACCATCAGAGAAATTAAATTAGTGGAAGGATGTGATCTGTTCTATATTTTCAAAACATGATTTTTTGTGTGTGTTTTGTGAGAAGTGGACTATAAAGAAAAGAATGGAAATGAGAAGACCTGTCAACGGTCTTTTGCGGGAATTAATTAATTGAGTCATTCATCAACAACTTACTTAGTAGACTTATTAGGCACTATTTTAGGCACTGGAGATGTAGCAGTGAATAAGAAAGATAACATCTCTGTCTCTTAGACCTTAAATTCTGGTGAAGGCATATGGGAAAACTGACCTTAAACAAAGATAATTTCAGAGAAAAAAGTACTATAAAGATACTATATATATATATAGTAAAGATACTACACTATACAGACTCTCTCTCTCTCTCTCTCTCTCTCTATATATATATATATATATATATATATATATATATAACCTGAAAATGATGGGATTTGGTAGGGTGGTTGCTTGTATTGGACACAGGAAAGTTCCCTTTATTCAGGTGACATGTGAGTTGTACTTACATGATTCAAAGAAGCCAGAACAGTGAAAATGGTCTGAAGGGGTGGAAACACCAAGGACAAATGTCCTAATGAGAAGAGTGATAGAATACAATGTTGTAGGAATGCGGTAAGAATGGAGGTAAGGATCATGTGGTCTTTGTCAAAATTTAAACTTTATTCTAAATGAAACAGAAAGTCACTGAATACTTATATTAAAAAGGTCTTTGCTAATAACCTGTAATAAGGTGACAGCAGTGACACCAACAGTGATGGAAAGAAGAAAATGAAGTCATGACACATTTTGGAGATGGAATTGATAGACATTGCTTTTGGGTTAGCTGTGGGGAATTTAAAAAATGACATATCAAAGATAATTCCCAAGTTCTGACTTTTGTAAGTGAGAGAATAAGAGTGATCTAAAATAAGCCAAAGAAGACTCCTTTGTGTATGGGCTGTAGAGGGTTTGAATCTAGAGTATGAGATGTCAGTGAGATATGGAAATGACATCACGTGAGCAAGTGGGTATGTGAGTTTGAAGGACTGTAAGTCACAAGCATAAATATGGTATTTACTAATTTGAAGAAATTACCCAGGGAAGAATATATAGAGAAGATAAAGAGGAACCAGAACTGGGCTTCTAGAAATATATGGTCTTCAAATAGATCACATAAGGGAAGAGGGAAGAGTCAGGCAAATGCAAAGGATATAGAAGAAAGAGGGAAGAAGACTGAAGTAAAAGAAAAACTTAGAAGCCAAAAAATCAGAGTGGTCACACAGGGCTAGCTCTAATCCAAATAGGTCTTGAGAGCCAAATGGTATAGATACCTTCCTACTGGAATTTTCTATAAAGTTGACCCACAGGTCCAAATCTGAACTCATCAAAGGGCCTTTCTTCTTGTTGTCTCTATCTCTGTAGATGGCATGCTAATTACTCAAGGTGTCATATCTGAAACCTCCCTATTTATATTATTTTTCATAAGGATGGGTCATTACATTCAGCTGCTTTGATTTCTAAACTTTTCCTTGAACCTCTTCCCTGCGGTCCATTCTTATTGCCGCCGATACAGGTCAACTTTTCAATTATCCTGTCTAAAGGTAATTGTCTTGTTCACAAGCTCTGAAGTCGGTCCCACCAGTTTCCATGTCTTCTCCATATATTACCATCTAAGCCTCGAGCCAGTCAAAATTCTGCAGAGTTCTGGATTATAGTTTAGGCAGAAGAGAAGAGATGAACAGAGCCATTCATTCTTCTTTCTTGGGAATGTGACCCAGGGAATATTGAGAGACATTCCCACTAAGCAAGGGGAAAGGATGATTCATTATATAGTATGAGGCTGGAGAAGTCATGATGGCCATGGGCAAGCAGACATTATGAGGATGTATAAACTGAATAACCAGAGAGATCAACTGAAAGAGAAAAGAGAATGGAGTGGATGCAAAGAGCAAAGCTACAGAAGAGACCAGAAGGCCTAATTAGAGAGACGGCAAGTGTAGTCAGTTCTTGAATGACTTCCTGTCACACGCCCACCCCTAAACTCAATTAATCTGGTTGGGTTTATTTTTCTTTTAACTGAGTAAGACTGTCCAGTATAAATTTTTGGCCATCCAAACATCACACAAGGTATTAGACATGATGGAGCCCAAGTCTGCTACTCAAAATCCTGGCTTTTAGCCAGCACGCAGTGCTGTCTTCCATCCATGTGCTTTAAGAGCAATAATTTTGTTTTCTAGCTTGTATTATTTCAATAACCTCCTTTCTATCTTCCTGCCTTCAGACCACTTTTATATGTCTCCCACAAGGTCATTAAAGTGATTTCTCTAAAATGTGTACCTGATTTTATCTCCCTTTTGGTTGAATTTTTCAGTGGTTTACCACTGCACCTGGCATAAAACCCAAACTCATCTATACATCATCTCAAGGTTCTTTTAAATATGAGTCTCTTATTTCATCTATATCCCATTTATTTCCATTTCTGGAAAATGGGTACGGCTCTTTCAAAACTTAGCTTAACATCATTTCTCTGGATAGCAGTTCCCATCTGAATAAGGTTCCCATCCTCTTACATTGCCAGAGTATGCTGTTTTCTACTTTATCATATTACTTATACACTTTTAGTACATAGAACTTGGTACTTTAATGGATCACAAGCCTGCTACCTATTCTAAGCTGTGAGCAACTTGAGGAAAAAAACACTGCGTCTGACACCATTTTCCTGCAGTACCTTATAGATAATGCCTGGAAAGCAGTAGGTGCCTAATAAATGGTTATTAATTCAAAGATCTATGTTTGATATTACATGAATAACCAAATACAGTCGAAACAAAAATGAAAAGACTACACAAATAATATTGTGGGCCTTAGTCTTGAACCTTATTAATAGAGCAGGAAAAAATGAGATTTCTGACCACTAACTAGCCTGAGAAAATAAAAAGGCAAGTCCCAGGATTGTGTTGGAGGGCCATTTAAGTAATTATATTTAACTGTTGTGTTGGGAGATGCTATCATAAAAATATACCCCTATCCTGAGCCACTGTTTAATTTGAATATTTTATAAAGAAAAAGAAAAAAAAAAAAAGCACCCCAAGGGCCCAGATCACTTCCTTGCCAGAG